TGTGCTACTCAGCCGAGGAGTGCTTCCTGGACTCTGATTTGAGCTTTTTGGTGCCCATAGCGGTGGGCGTGGCCCTCAGCTTCCTAATCGTCCTTGTCCTTCTCTCTTACCTGATCGGCCGGAGGAAGAGTCGCACTGGTTACCAGTCTGTGTAAAGCTCTGCTTCTGCTCCCAAACAAAGCCCAAATGTTCTTTTTCCAGCCCTTGCCCTGCAAAAGTAACATGAAGCTTATGCCCCGTGTATCCCAGCGATCACTAGTTGTCTCTTCCTCCTCCTCCTTCCATTTCAAATGAAAATTGCATTGTTTGACTCAAGACTGCATGTCTACTTTCACTCCCAAACCGAGAGAGGCGGCTTTTCCCCTCTCTGCCCTTTTCATTATACGTATAAGTGAATAATTTCTTGAATAGAATGAAATATCTTTTGTTGTTGAATGACTTGAATGTACAAGAAAATTATAGCACATTGACTTGTATGCCAGAAAATGTTCATTTTCTTTCTAAATGCACACAATATTGAAATGAACTGTTGAATGAAAAGGGAAACAAAACACCTACCAGCACTGCAACCACGTTTTGGGGTGGGGGAAAAAAGATGTGATAATGAATGGATACTTTTGTTATTTTATGTCAAGGGAACAAAATCTCAACATCGATATTTTCTTCATTTAATACTTAAGCCTTTTCATCAACTACAGACACTGCATTGCACAGCAGTCCACCACTAACCCGCCACCACAGTTTTGTGCCTTTCCGTTAGACACCGTTAGTTGCTTTGCTCGAGAAGAAAGTTATGTGATGGTGAGCTTGTCTTAACGTGTGTGGGGTGGGGATAAGGGGGACGAATTCAATAAAGTTTGGTTCTTGTTTTGTAGCGCTGTTGTTTGTTTCTTTTCTGGCCTGAGATCTTGTGACTGAAATCAAAGGTTGCCAGACTGTCCAATTTGACGAGCTGGTTTACAACCTGATACAAGTTTATGAGGTATGTGCGTGTGTTGCGGCCAAGTGGCCGTTACACATTAAAATGGAAAAAAATTTGAGTTAGTCCGCCCTTTACACCTGCAAGATTTCCCACAAAAAAAAAAAACAAGCCAAAAAATGAATAAGCCAAATACTGTTATGCTTGCACAGAAGAACAGTAGGATGATTAGTGAACCACTGATAATTAGAGTGGGATAACTCTATTTGGGTCATTATAAGTCCAGTGTAGAAATGAATGGAGAAAAGAGATTTCTTTTTATACTTGTCCATGATATAGCTTTTTAAAAGCAAATATTGGTCAAATAATTCGCTTTTTGATTATCTTTGTGACAAAACAATTCATTAGTTTCCGTACTGTAAATATTTACTATCAATATTGCCTGATTTAATGTGATGCGTGCATGATCACTCCCACTCATTGGCACAAGATGATAGCAGCCGTTTGAAAAGCCACCCAAATGAGGGGGGAAATGTTGGAAACGACCCTCATTATTATGATGTAGTGCAGTTCAATATGCGTTCCTTAATAAAATGCATTTGATGTTTTTCTCAGAATATTTTTAGTCCACGCAAATGGCACTGAAGTTACATTGTAACATAGGACCTCTTGTTTGACTAACAGCTGAGCAAATCTTAGCAAATCCTTTGAACTTGTACGTTTTTGCAGATTCTTGGCTTGAATTCATTTAGGTTTCCTCATTACATCGACAATAATATTAGGTTTATCACAAATGCATTGCATATTATGGCGTTCAACAGGCTATCTAATATATTCAATGTGGCGTTTATTTTTTCCTTAGCAGCTAGAAAACCAACTCGAAGTGCACAGTGGAGTCTGGTATGTACGGTGCCACAGCCAGCATGTGGCAGTGTTGCGCTCCATGGCCGCAATGCGTAGAAGCCCAGAAGCAGACGTAAGCACGAAAGATGGCCTCTGGGCTGTATGGACGTGCAGACTTAGCCGCCATCTTGAACAGGCAGTCCGCCGCAGTCGCTTCCATTCACTTGTATTGACGTAGCTGTGTTTGGCTCCAATAAATTCATCATAACTCGTCAAATTGTTTACCGATTTTGATATAAATATCAGACAGCCAGTTATTATACTACAGCCCGGGTAATTGTTATGCTTTATGCCAATTTTTATACACAATTCTTTTTATATTTAAAAAAGATCTGGAAAAAAACAACAGCAACAATGAACTTGACCTCGTATAAAATATTATTTTGTTTTTATCGCTTTATTGAACAGTGTGAAATGATTGAAAATAATGTTCTACCTTCGGATCATATTTTTATATCTGACTCAAGAGTAGTGTCTCACCAATCATGAACCTAAACCCACCGTACTGCGCTGTAGGCTGTAGGCCTACAATTTACTAAAACTCATGGGCGTCATTAGGCCTATTTTAGGGAGGCTTCAGCCTCCCTAAAAATGTCTTTAGCCCCCCTAAATAATTTCATTGCATTATTTTAAAAAAAATATTATTTATTTTTCATGTACTTTTGCTAATATATTGCATCAAATTCAATGTAATGTGGCCATTTTAAATCATATTTCGATAACCTGCCATTATTGTAATATTAATCTCCCAGGATTCCTGAACGCAACAGGTGTTGCGTTAGCATTTGACGTGTCTGTCACCATCTCCACATCAAATGCTAACGCAACAACTGACAGTTCATTGCCGAAAGTCAGGTTGAGTCGACAGCATGGATATTCGACAGTTTTTTAGAAAGGTAAATTAAGTATTCAATGCATCCATGCTGGTAAAACTAGTGACTATAGTCCACAAAAATATCTCCAGAAACAGCAGAAACTGCACTGTAACAAGTGTTCACTTTTGGATAAATTAAGG